CATGATATGATCCGTGATGAGCCGGAGCTTGTCGAGTCCGTCTTTGCGTTGTTTCTGGGTTTTCCCCTCGATGATGGGGTTGAGGATTTCCTTGTTGAAGATTGAAATATGCATAAACCCAGTGTGAGAGCACTCAGTACAACGTCCCTCTTTGGTCGAGGTCCATTGGAGTTGTTCGCAATCGCACTCCTTACAAAAGTAGCATGCGAATGGCTTGACTTGTAGAAAACGTAGAAGGGAAAAGAATTCTCCAATCCGGTTCTGTACAGGTGTGCCCGATAGGCACCACTTGTATGTAGCCTCCAAGGCAAAACATGCCCTGGCAACTCCCGTGGTACGCGATTTGATACTATGCGCCTCGTCAAGAATGAGGCGGTGATAGTGCACTGCGTGGATGACACTATCTGCTTTGACCACCGTTTCCCCACGAGAGAAGCCTTTCTCCTGCTTGCGGTGCATGGATTCGAGACTTGCGTAAGAAATCATGATGACATCGTATTTGCGAATATCAGCCCGTGTCAACTTTTTGACTTTTGGATCGGAATTGTGATAGACCAAGACTTTCAGCTTGCCATCCGTGTATTCCTTGATCTCGGATACCCACTGCATCAAAGCAACCGGTGGCACGAGGACGAGAGTCGGGTTAGGCTGGGGGTAATCAGACATGATGAGTGAAACTGCTTGAATGGTCTTTCCCATGCCCATCTCATCACCCAACAAACCACCCTTGTACTGAGTCTTTTCCTGTGCAATCATCCAGTTCAAACCCTCCAGTTGGAATGGTTTGAGATTGCGAGTGATGGAGATAGGTTGCTTAGCTTCTTTGGGCTGGATAATCGGTTGTGCTTTGAGCGTATCCCACATGGTGGCAATTTTGGGATGTTTGTCCACCAGTTTCTTTCGGTCTTTGTCTACCTAGGTGATGGTCAGTCATGTATAGGCGCGCGGGGAAAGAACCCGACTTACACGTCGAGCTCTCCGCTGCTCTTCCCAGGTTGGAGGCAGATCTGCTTCAGAGTTGTGAAGATCGTCATTGAGGCCTTCTCCCAAAGGACTGGGAGATCTGCCCTCCAGAGGATCCTCCGAGGTATCCGAATCAGCGCCAGAATCAAGTCCCGGTGGCTCAGAGCTCAACGGAGAGAAGAACACCGGTCTAGAATCTGGGTCCGAGTCGTATTCCAAGTGTTCATTAATGAATTTGTCTACAAGCAAACGTTGCTCTGCTGTCGTGCGTGGATACTCGTATTCCTCCATTTGAAGGGCATGGGCCAGAGCAGTGTCGGAAGCCTCACGATCGGGTCGAACAGACAGATCACCTGTCCGCCGTTTTACCGTCCTTTTTTTGGACACATGAGCTAGTGGAACATCAGAGGCATCATCATTATCCTCCGCCAGTGCGGCTGTGGACCTTTTCCTTCCTCTTTGGGAAGTTCCTAGAGATAATGCGCTCGACTGTAATCTCTTCACGCGATCAGCGGCATTGATACGCGCCGAAGTCTTTGTCGCAATCTTGGTGTCAGGTTCAGTAACTGCCGCACCAACACTAGTAGCTGGGGTACTATAGCCCGTGGATAGATCCCCAAGCGGACTCCGAGAATTAGAGTCACTGGGAGATTCATTTTTCATGGGCACCACCACCGCAATTCCAACCGAAGCAGAATTGTCCGGTGCTTCCGAGTCCGATATACCAATATAGTCATCCTCATCTACCTCGGAATCTTGGATGACGCGGCGAGATCGAGAAAGGGATGACCCACCGGCTCGCAGAGGTCCTGATCGAGTTGATCGACTTGATCGACGGAGAGGGGATGAATTCCTCAATGACGTTTCACTGAATTGTGAATCATCTTCTGAATCAGGGATTGTGGTTCTGGGTCTCAGATTGCGCCCCATATTGAAACCGAGCAGATATAGAGAGGTGGAATGACAGTTATGAATTGGAGGTGTGTGAAGCTATAAGAATTGATCATATTAGCTGGGTTTGAAAAAGAAAACACGTGGGGGAGTGACAGGGGTGTACCTAGCAAATTGCGACTTCACTTGTTTGTGTTATATGTGATATAACTATGTGATATATGCGGGTAGTTGCTAGGAAGGAAATAGGATTTGAAAATAGGATAAGGCAAGAAAGTAGAAGATGAAAATCAGAGGAGATTCAAGAGAATGAGATGAAGTCGGGGAGGCAGCAGAGGGTGCCTGAACCAGAAATTTTCCTCGGAATCCTCCCCGATTTCCCCTTCTTTCTTTTTCTTTTTTTCTTTTAAAGTGGCAAATCTTCCTATCTTCATCTTCATCAACAGGAATCATACAAGAATCAAAAGATCTCTCTTCATTACTCTGTGTCTTACCTTCTTCCCCTGTGTCTTATCTCTCAGATAAGACCGCGTTAAGTGAAACGCGAAATCGCCACGAGTCCTGTGACTTCGGGACTTAGAGTCTCACTTTACTTCCCCCTACATCCCAAATATCAAATATGTGAGTCTTATTCATTATTTTCAAATTATGATTTGAAACTGACTACATTAAAAGGACTGGGAGGAGACGGGCAAGGCCAACAAGACAGCCAAGTCAGCCTCAGGGCATTCGGGGCCCGTATGTTTCATTCCCTTACTTTCTTTTCACCGTATATCACTCCAGAGACACTAACTTCAAACTCTAGACGCTCTGCCTTGACTGACTATCTTGCTGTATGTTGATTCTTATCTACATAGTGTGGCTTGACTGACTGGTTTTAGTCAAATAATATCTCAGCCCAACAAATTCGTGATGATTGGGACCGCCGCCAAGCCGAGGCACAGCGCCAGCACCAAACTGAACAAGAAACATCCAATCCAGTTGAAGAGTCTAGGTCTCCGTCAGTCTTGGAGTCACCAGAGGACCCGGTCAAAAGGCGCAAGCGCCAGCAAGCCATTGCAAGGATTAAAAATAGCAAGGAGTTTGCTAAGCGCAAGGCTCGCTTTAGTGGCGATTACGATGATGAGGGAGACGACGATTCCCTTGCCCTACAGATCCATGAAGAAAAGAACCGACCACAACCCGGTCAACTTGCAAACTGCGAGATCTGCGACAAGCGTTTCACCGTAACTCCCTACAGCAAGGCCGGTCCGAACGGAGGCTTGCTTTGCATTGACTGCTCTAAGAAACAAAAGGCCGATGAGAAAAAGCCTCCCGCCAAGAAACGTGCCCCTGGAATTGGACGTCGTCAAAATCAAGCTAATCTACTTGATGGACTGACTCCTCATGGCACTCAGAGTCTGCTGGAAACCTGCATCAAGGTATGTCCACGACATTTAACACTAAAAATCCCCAGGGCATTGACCAGGGAGTGCTAATAATTTTCTAGAAAGTGGCAGATTATATCCATGATATTGAGGACTTCGGTGATTTGCCTCCATCATTGCTGTTACGTCTCGGTCAAATTTTATCTAGAAGGCGGGCCGTGACTCCACGCACCTTGGATCTGTTCTTACGACCTCAATACACATCCATTGACCTGTTCGATTGTGCTAGTAAGTCAGGGTTATCGCCTCTCTTTCAGACAAAGTCTAACCAGTGGCTAGAACTCGGCACGGATGATTACCACAAGATCCTAGCTTCCATGCCTCGTCTAACAAGAGTCAACCTTCGCTTTACTACTCCAATGAAGGACCGGATTTTCCACTATATGATAGAACGTGATATGGAGATCAAAGATCTCCATCTGGATGGGCCCAACCTTGTGACCGATGCCTGTTGGCGTCAACTTTTCATAAAACTTGGTCATCGTTTCCTGAGCCTCAAACTGTGGAACCTGGATTCTGCCTTTGATAACGAAACCGCTCGAGTGATGTGCCTTCAATGCCCCAACCTTCAGCGACTGAAACTGAAATTTTTACACAAAATCGACAATGACATGCTTGAGGGAATTTCGACGCTCAAGTCCCTTCAGCATTTGTCGCTACGTTTTCTGGACGAGACCGAGACCAAAACTGAGCCTCTCCTTCAAATCATGAGTAGCATTGGTCCTCATCTAGAAACCCTCTCTCTGGAGGAATTCCAGTCTGCCGATGATCGACTCTTAGAGTATATCCATGACCATTGCCGTCGTCTGACCAAGCTTCGTCTTACCCTCAACTCGACCTTCACCGATAAAGGATTAGCCGCATTCTTCGCAGGCTGGTCTAATCCGGCCCTTACCTATGTGGACTTGAACTCCCTCCGGGACGTGGACATGACGAATCCCGGCGGTCCGGAGGAGCCTATTGGGCTTGCATCCGATGGCTTTGTTGCACTTATGGAACATTCGGGCTCAAAAGTTCGACACTTGAACATTGCGTCGTGCCGTCACGTTTCATACAAAGCATTCGAACAGGTTTTCGCGGAAGGTAAAATATATCCCAATCTCAAGTATCTTGATATCTCGTTTAGCACTGTCGTGGACGACTACCTTACGCAGTGCATCTTCCGGTGCTGTCCGGCCCTTCAGAGACTGGTTGTCTTTGCTTGTTTCAAGATTCGCGACGTCCACATCCCCAGGGGAGTTGCCCTGATCGGCACTGTGGGAGCGACTATCAAAGTGGACGGAATCACCCAGACTGAGACTATTTGAGTGACGCTACGGTGGATCGACATGTGCTACACCAGTGCATAGGCTACTCAAGTCATCTTGAAGATTAATCTGGTCTTATGAACTAATTGAATCTCGGTCCTTTTCTTAAGAATAAGCAAAATTTATAATTTAGGATCTACCAATTTCTTAATGGAGTCAATGAATACATATGCACTTATCATCTCCAAATTACGAGACCGTATACAAACCTAGTAGACCAAGCTAAAAGGGATTGGGGGATCGTTGTAATCACTTCCCCTTAGGGATGTACGAATTTCCCGGGACATGCTAAATCATTCATACAACAGACTTCATTCAATATCATATATACATACGCCAAACACCATCATTTATGTAACCATAGTCCATATATCTCAAGAAAATTCAACCCAATTAACAGAATCCATGATCTTTATGCCATTCGCTTGCCAATATCACTCTGCCAGTTTCGGGTCCTCTCAAACCCATTGGAGGCAGTCTGGTAGTCGAGCATCGCCTGGTAAACCTCCTCCTGAGTGTTCAATACGAAAGGTCCATACTGAACAACCTTCTGGTCCAGAGGCTGGCCAGCCGCAAGGAAGATACGGGAATCCTTTTCGGCATTGTCTGGGACGGAGAGTTCAACAAAGTCACCCTTCTGCTCGAATTCGACGTTTGTGAATTCCTTCACGACGCGAGTGGAATCATTCGAGCCAAAGATGGTCTCACCAGCCAAAGTGTAGGCAAATGAGTTCCATTCCTGTGGCAGGGGCTGCGAGATACGACCTCCTGGCTTGATGGTGATATCCAAGATCCAGACAGGGGTGTAGGCCAAGTCGCGCACGGAGTCAACACCGTGCGACTGGCCTGAGATGACCTTAACTATAACGCGGCCCTCATCGACTGTGGCGAGAGGGATCTCCTCAGCGCGCAGATCACGGTAACGAGGCTCACAGAACTTTAACTTCTGGGGCAGATCGACCCACAACTGCATACCGACATTGGGGCTACCGTCCTCGTTCTCGTGGGGCATCTCAGCGTGCATGATGCCACGGCCTGCAGTCATGAATTGCAGATCGCCAGATCCAATGGTGCCCTTGTTACCGGCAAAGTCTTCATGGTCAACGCCGCCGGACAACAAGTAGGTGATGGTCTCCTGGCCGCGGTGGGGGTGGTCGGGGAAGCCGGCGCCCTTGCCGATGGTGAAGTGGTCGAGCATGAGGAAGGGACTGAAGTTGCGGAGCTTGGCAGTTCCAATTGAGCGGCGCACACGGGCACCTGCACCTTCTGCTTGCTCAATGGCAATGAATGCTTGTCGAATTGCGCGAGGAACGGACATGTCTGTGATGGGGAAGTATATGGGAGTCCGGGTTTCTAGGTTGAGGTTTGTCTGATTGACAATGTTTGTTGTCTCAAGGTACTTTGACCGGCTAGGAGCTTGTTGTTGGATGAATGTGAGGAAAGAGTCTTTGAGAGAGTCTTTGATAGAAGGGTTATAGGCAATGAAGATTGCTGTGATGCAAATTAAAAGTGGCAGAAGTAATTTCATGGATGAGATGATGGCTATTTATATGAGAAGGGAGTTGATTGAAACGAGTAGAATGTTCTTGGAAAATAAATTCTGTCAGCGTTAGTCAATCTCTCATAAATAACTCTTCGTACTCCGTACTCTGCTGGGGCATCCCGAGGTCATCGATAATGCTTTGCAAGACATCAGTCAGCTCGATTCGGCCAATGAAATGGCCTGGCTTTATTACCAACCCCCTGTCAGCACCCGCTAAGCAGAAGACTAACCATATAAGGTTAGTATTGATACCTGATAAATCTGGTACTAATGCTGAGTTCAGCATTTCAAATCAGGTGACCTGGAAATTGGAGGATCTATAAGCTGAGAGTAATTCGGCGGATATAAGTACGGATATAAGTGTGTTATAGATTTAATACACTGTAGTCTGAATCTAGATATTGCCCCATATTCATATTATAAATAACCATTTCTGTGTATTCTGCATTTACATCTGCTTCTTAAGTGTTCGAAGTACACCAGCACATAACTATAGCTTGGCATAGATTAGTGGTTATCAGATAAGGCCACGGAGCAGCTGCCGCTCTCCACTGCCAAACCTGACATGCGAGAACTGGCTACCGGGTACAACATAGGCATTTAATTCATTCCAGCCTTGGGAAATTGTTTGCTTCTGTCTTAATATAATTCCACTGATACCAATAAGCGATTGATTTACATGACAAACCCTTACCATTGCCGAATTGAAGCTTCTTGCGGCAAGCGCCTTTCGCGGGGAAGGCTTCAGGCTACCTGACTTCCACCCCTAGACTCCACTGTCATCCTTGGTTCACTGCGTTCTAAACTGATCTATTCAGAAGAGATGGGTAACTCGGCAAGCCTGTCACCGTGGCTGGTGTTGGCCTGTGCCGTGTCCAGCGTGTGGGCGAATAAAAAGCCATTCAACATTAATGACGATATCCTAGCCTATCCCCAGGTAGGTGGATCTGATTTACACTGATTTGAAGCAAGACTAACGTTGGATATTTCTTAAAGTATCAAGTGACCTTCCCCGAGGAGTATGTGCTCGAATCTCACGCCGACGCACTGCTCCAATCCCAGGCCAGCCCCGGCGTCAATGACCAGAACAACCCCCAAGTTTATATGGGCAAGGGTACAACAGATTCCACCGACCAGCCCGAGGATGTGGGTGGATCTTCATTTACCTACGAAGAAATGGTACTCGAGGACCGGCGACTCCTCTGCCAGATCCCACGTGTCGCGAACGATGACCATAATACAACGAGAGACAAGGAGAATAGCAAGTCTGAGGAGCAGAAGGAACTAGCTCGGGCAACAGATCGTGGCCTGGAACTGCTACGTGAAATGGAAGGGAAATGCATGTACTATTTCTCTGGCTGGTGGTCCTACTCCTTCTGTTATCAGAAGCAGATCAAGCAGTTCCATGCGCTCCCTGCTGGCCGTGGTGTCCCAAACTACCCACCCATCGAAGATACCCAGACACATTCCTTTGTCTTGGGAAGATTTATCGGCGACAAGGGCGAGGAAGAGAAACCATCTGCCAAAACAGATGTGGCAGAGCTTCACACAAAGGGTGGCTCGCGGTACTTGGTCCAGCATCTGAGTGGCGGGACCAAGTGTGACCTGACGGGGCGCGAGCGCAAGGTTGAAGTGCAGTTCCACTGTCACCCACAATCGGCAGATCACATCGGTTGGATCAAGGAGCTCACCACGTGCTCTTACCTAATGGTGATTTATACCCCTCGTCTATGTGACGACGTTGCTTTCATGCCACCACGGCAGGATGAGATACACACTATCGAGTGCCGTGAAATCCTGATGCCCGACGAAGTCACCGAGTGGGAGGCCATCAAAGAGTGGTACATGACCAACCAACTGGCCGATGCTGCTACAGATGCGGATTCTGATGTCGCCCAATCCGAGCTCCCGATTATCGGAGGGATCGAAGTCGGAGGCCGTAAACTTGTTGGCATGGAGGGCAAGGTAATTGAAAAAGGACGTGTGGCATCCGCAGGCGAGGAGCGGGTGGAGGTGGTTGCGAAGCGTGAGAATGGCGAGATTCGGAAAACGTCCAAACAGGTTCTGAAAAAGTACGATATCGACCCGGAGAAACTGGAAGAGATGAAGAATCTACTGGAAGAAGAAGCAGATGGCAAAGACTGGACGCTGGAGGTTGTTGAAAGCAATGGTGTGATCAAGTTCCAAGGCGTCCTTGATGAAGACGAGGAAGACACTTGGAACGACAAGGTATCTTCAGAGAAACAACCCGAAAAGAAGGTGTCTGGAAGTTCCACTGGTCAAAAACCCAAGCAGGAAAAAGAGTCGGCCGAAAAGAAAAAGCAACCCTCAAACAAGCCCAAAAATGAGGGCAGTGAGGAGACCTTTAAGGATGAACTATAAGCTTATATAGTAGATCTTGTACATTTTGATATTTCCTTTTCTTTCCACCCTCATAGGAATGATATCGTGTTTTTCACAGACACTGTTACTGCTACTGATTCTAAGCTTTGTATAGAGTAATATCTTGTATGAATTCACCTGTGCAATTGCATTCAATCCACTTACCTTAGAAGTATACATAACTATGTAGTAGGGCGTAGGCGGGATCTGTCTCGTGCTCCGTATATATGTACACTTTGTGGAAATCTATACATCCTAATCCTAGACAGCTTTAGGGTAAGAAGCCTTATAAGGTTAGATACAGTCAATTTAACTGCAATTCCACACAGTCTCAAGACAAATATACTAATCAAGAGGCAATCAAAAAGCGATATACTGTCGCCCGTACGGAGTAGACGTACGTCAGTTACCCCAGTTGCGGAGCCGGCGCTTTAAATAGAAAAGTAGGTTACCGGAGAATTTAAGAGAATTGGGAGAATCCAAATATACGAATAATAGCAAGAAAAGAATCTCCCAAAAGAGTAGCGAAAGCATTCAATGGAAGAGAATGTCCCCAAAAACCCCATAGTTAAGCAACGAGGCAACGTGACTGTAAACTCCCTAATCGCCTGGCCCACCTTCCCGCCCTCTCCCTCTCCCTAATCTAACCACCTTCTCTTCTTCTTCCTCCCCTCTCTCAATCCCTCGCGCCTAGATCAGTTTTATCTACCTCTCCCTCATCTCATTCGCATTCGACTTACCCTACTCCGCGCACTAAGGAGCGCCAAGGCTGACCGATCAACGGCGTCCCCAATTACAATTACACCCAGTCTCCCCCAAACTACATCACTGCGAAATCTAGAGCTGGCACGTTAACACGCTGCCATTTGCAGCGGACTATCGTCATAATTGATTGGTGCCGTCGGATCACTACTTGTTTCCAATATGGGTTTCATCGGTGTCTACTCGGCTGTGTACGACTACCAGCCACAGGGAGCCGGCGAACTCGAGATTCACGAGGGCGACCTCCTTTACATCTTGGAAAAGAATACGGATGATGATTGGTGGAGGGCTAAAAAGAAGGCTAGCCGGGAGGATGAAGACGAACCTGAAGGCCTAGTCCCCAACAACTATGTCGAAGAGGTGAGTCTCCGCCGATGGAATGCATCCGCGCAGCCATTCGCTGCGTGAACAATTGTTGACATTAGATGAAATAAGGCACCACCAGCGCACAGAGCTACAGCCCTCTTCGACTACACGCGACAGACCGACGAGGAGGTTTCCTTCTCAGAAGATGCTGAGCTGATGGTTTACGATACCTCGGATCCGGATTGGACGTTGGTTGGATACAACTCTGAGTATGGATTTGCGCCGTCCAATTACATCGAAATTATTGAGGATGCCTCCGATGCAACGACTGCCCCTCCGCCTTCTACTCGAGCCGAGCCTGCCGCGCCGACGCTTCCGCAGCGGCCGACGCAGACTGGCCCGGAAGAAACTGAGGCATCACCCGCCGCCTCTCCGGTTGATATGTCTCACAACCCCGCTGCCGCTGCGATCGCCAGTATCATTCACAAGCAGCATGCCCCTACGGGCGCACCTGCCGAGACAACTAGAGATGAGCCCCCGCCACCCAGTCTTCCGGTCCGGCCGTCGTACGATCAAGCAGAGGAGCGCGAGGAGTCTCCGCCGCCTAGTCTGCCACGTCGACCACCCTCGGAACATGCGTCGCCGCCTATGAACCGTTATTCGCCTGACCCAACTCCACCACCCCGTCCTCAGCAGACGGCGCCTGCTATGGGTCATGATGGAACACGTGTCAAGGCATCTCCCCCTTACAACCGGGCGGGTGAGATGACGCCTCGGTCACCTTCCGGCTATCATATCTACAACATTAATGAGATGGTTGAAGTTATGGGCAAGAGAAAGAAGATGCCGACTACATTGGGAATCAACATGGCCACTGGAATTATCTTCATTTCTCCCGAAGGTGACGATCGGCAGAAAGAATGGACAGCGGAGAAGCTCACTCATTACTCTATCGAAGGCAAGCATGTCTTTATCGATCTTATCAAGCCTAGCAAGAGCATCGATTTCCATGCAGGTGCCAAAGACACTGCTCACGAGATCGCAGCGGCACTTGGTGAGATCGCCGGCGCCTACCGGGCAGGAGGATTGCGCGAGGTGCTCGAGGCGGGAGAAGGCGGCGGTCCAAAGAAGGGCCAGATCCTGTATGACTTCATGGCGCAAGGCGATGATGAAGTTACAGTAGCTATTGGAGACGAGGTCATCGTCCTTGATGATACCAAGTCCGAAGAGTGGTGGATGGTGCGGCGATTGAAGAACAACAAGGAGGGTGTTGTCCCCAGCAGCTATGTTGAGGTCACAGGATTGATACCCAAGGCGCCACTAATGCCTAACGAACCAGGCCTGTCGAGTGTGGAAAAGAACCGGATGGAAGAGATGCGGCTATCCAAACTTGCGATGGGCAAGTCACGGACGGACTCGATAGATTCATCGGACCGTCACAGCAAGCGCGACAGCAAGATCAAGTCGAAGCCTGATCCGACTAAAGTGCGAAAGTGGACGGATCGGACCAAGGACTTCACAGTGGAAGCCCAGTT